ACATCATTCATAATAGACTATGGATTTTGTACAATGGGAAAGTTCTTTTAAATATGCAAACTCAATCAAAAGTTGTAAAAGGCTTTAAGAACAGGGGGAAAAAACCTTAGGAATAAAATTCCTACCACTTGCATGTGGAGATAAAACATAGAGGAAAGGGTAATTTTAAGCATGTTACTAATTCCAGTACCTTCTCTATCGGATTCCTTGAAAAGGCAGAATAGCAAGCAGGGGAAATTCCAGCCACGTCAACATCCATTATCCATGCCAATGCAAATTGTTTGAAGTGCCGATCTCTGGGAGGTCACCACTCTTGTGAGTTTCTTGCAATTACTACAGTCTCTCTCCTCTGTCTCCTTTTCCAACTCCAGATAGGTACCCAGCCCTTCTCCTTCTGCACCCTCACGTCCCCAGTCTCTAATACCCATGAAAGGTGATCCAAGCCTACTGCTACATGATCCTATTAAAGGAATATTTATTTCATTACTAAATTTTTTTAGTATTTTTAGTATAAAAAAAACCACTGTGTTTGGTTGAAGACTTGCCCCTTTAATCTAGAATATAATCAAATGGGTTTTATTAGATTTTTTGGTTTCTTATGTAAATTATATTAAATTTGTCCTAATGTTGAAAAGACTTTGTAGACAGAGAGACAGATTTAGAAGCCAGAAGACCCTATATAAATTGCTTTTCTTTTTATTTTGGAACAATAAATTTAGTTTTTGTTTGTTTTTAACATTCTTTTAAATTTTAAGTTCCAAATTCTCTCCCTCCCCTCCCAAAAGGATATTATATACATGTTAAATCATGTAAAACACATTTCCATGTTAGCCATATCACAAAAAGCAATGAAAAAAAAGCAAGAAAGTCATACTTAAATTTGCATTTACAATTCATCAGTTTTCTCTCTGGAGGTAGATAGCATTTTTCATCATGAGTTCTTTGGAATAATCTTGGATCCTTGTATTGATCAGAGTAGCCAAGTCTTTCAAAGTTGATTATTATTACCACAACAACATTATTACAACATTACAATGCAGTTGATCATTATTACAACATTTCTACCTGTGCACAATGATGTCCTGATGCTTCTCATTTCACTTTGAATCAGTTCATATGTCTTCCCATATTTTTCTGATACCACTTCCCTTGTCACTTCTTTGTGTGTGTGTGTGTTGTGTGTGTGTGTGTGTGTGTGTGTTGCACTGTAATTTTATTTATTTGTTCCCAATTACATTGTAATCTCCTTCAGTCCTCAGGTGAGTTTATTTTATTTTATTTTATTAATTTATTTTGATTTATCAGCAATCACTTCCATATGCTTTTGAGTTTAAAATTTTTCTCCCCCTTCCTCCCCTCCCCAAGATGGCACACAATCTGATATAGCTATACATATACATTCCTATTAAACATTTTTCACATTAATGATGTAAGTAAGAATTAGAACCAATAGAAGGAACCATCAGAAAGAGGAAATAAAACTCCACAGAAGAGAAAAAAACTAGCAAATAGTATGCTGCAATCTGCATTCAAATTCCATAGTTCTTTCTTTGGATGTGGATTGCATTTTCCATCTCAAGGCCTTTGGAGATGTCTCAGAACCTTGTATTGCTGGGAAGGATTAAGTTTATCAATATTAGTCATATAATGTGGCTGTTATTGTGTAAACATTCTCTTGGTTCTGCTCACTTCACTCAGCATTAGACCATACAAGTCTTTCTAGGTTTTTCTGAAGTCAGTCTGTTCATCATTTCTTCTAGCACAATAGTATTCCATTACATTCATATACCACAACTTGTTCAGCCATTTCCCAATGGACGGATATCTTCTCAATTTTCAATTCTTTGCCACCACAAAAAGGGCCGCTATAAATATTTTTGAATGTAGATCATTTTCCTTTTTCTCCTATCTGTTTGGGTTACAGACCCAGTCATCATATACGTAGTTTTATAGACCTTTAAGGATAGTTCCAAATTGTTCTCTAGAATTATTGGACTAGTTCATGACTCCACCAACAGCTTGTTAGTCTACCTATTTCTCCTCAACTCCTCTGGCATTTGTCATGCCTGATAAGTATGATGTGGTACCCCAGAGTTCTTTTAATTTGTATTTCTTTAATCAATTGTGATTTAGAACATTTTTATATAACTATAGATAGCTTTAATTTCTTCTTCTGAAAGCTGCCTGTTCAAATCCTTTGAGCATATATTAATTAGGGAATGATTCTTATTTTTATAAATTTAATTCAGTTCCCCATATATTTGATAAATGAAGCCTTTATCAGAGAAACCTGTAAAAATTTATATTACCTTTTAGCAAAATGTAGTTTCCCTGAATATCTCTTTTAATTAGGTTTATTTTTGCTTTTGCTTTGTCTGAGATCGTGATTAGTACGCCTGCCTTTTTTTCACTTCAGCTAAAATGTAATAGATTCTGCTCCAGCCTTTTAACTGCGCATGTCTTTATGTTTCAAGTACATCTCTTGTAAGTAACATATTGTTGGATTCTAGTTTCTAATACCTTCTACTATCCCCTTTCATTTTATGTGTGAGTTCATCCCATTCATATTCAGTTATGATTACTATTTATTTCCCTCCAACATATTTTCTTCTGTTTATCCTTCTCTCTCTTTTTATCCTGTCCCTCTTCAAAAGCTTGTTTTGTCTCTGACCACTGCCTCTTTTAATCTGCCCTCTCCTTTATTATCCTCTTCATATTTCTTAACCCCTTTCCCTCCTATTTCCCAATCAAATGAGATTTCTATACCCAACTGTGCATGTGTGTGTGTGTGTGTGTGTGTGTGTGTGTGTGTGTGTGTGTGTGTGTATTCTTTTCTCTTAGAACCAATTCCAATGACAGTAAGGTTCAAATATTGGCAACCCACTCCCATTTTCCCTTCCATTATGAAAGCATTTCTTTGCATGCCTCTTTTACATAAGGAAAATTTCCCCATTCTACCTCTACATTCCCTCTTCTCCCAAAGTATACCTCTTTTTCACCCCTTAATTTTTTGTGAGATCATCTCAACATAATCAACTCACACCCTAAGGTACTGGGGCAGTTTTCCTTGATAATTTATTTTTCCTTTTTTTTTTCCTTCATGATTTCTTGATCATGGCTTTCACATAATCCAAAATTCTTAAATTACCTCTCATCAGTCTATGTTCTAGGTAAGTTGTTTTTTTTCTGATGAAATATTTCAGATTTTCTTCTTTTTTATTTTTATTTCATTTTATTTTATCATCTCATAATGTTTCATGAAATCATGAATCAAGCTTTCACTTGCCCCACTCTAATTTTTAAAGAATTATTTTTTTCAGTGAGCTTTTATACCTCCTTTTCCATTTAACTTGTTCTGCTTTTTAAGGAGTTCTTCTTTCAGTGAATTTTTGTGCCTCTTTTATCATTAGGTCAACTGGTTTTTTTAAAAAGGTGTTATTTTCTCTCTTTTTTTGTATCTCTTTTACCAAGCTGTTAATTCCCTTTTCATAATTTTCTTTCATTACTCTCATTTCTTTCCCCAATTTTCCCACACCACTCTAAGCTCTTTAATTTCTCCGGAATTCTTGTTAGGCTTCAATCCAACTAGCATTTTTCTTTGAGGCTTTGGTTGTAGTTGTTTTCATGTTGTTGTCATCACCCGATTTTGTGTATTGGTCCTCCTTGCCACCATAGTAGCTTTTTATGATCAAATTCTTTTTCACCTGTTTGTTCATTTCCCCAGTCTATTTCTTGATTTTTAACTATATGTTAAAGTTGGGCTCTGTTCATCTGGAGGTGGGGAGGCATTGTGCCAAGCTTTAGGTTTTTCCATGCTGTTGCTTTCAGAGCTGCTTCTTGGGGTTCTGCAAGTTTTGGGTGCTTCCAAGGTGGTATGATGTGGGGAGAGGTGTAGTCACCATTCTCCTGGTCTATGCTCTTGCCTTTATCCAGTAAGGGCCCCTGGTGTCCTGCAGCCACAAACACTAACATTCCTTTGGGCCCTGAACTGTGACTAGGTCTCCTGTTCTCCTAAAGCTGCAGGTTCTAGTGTTTCTTTCTGTGTTGGAACTGTGACCAGGGCTCCTACTCCCTTGTGATTGATGACAAGAAATCCTATCTGCCCTGAAATTGTGACATAGAACTGCTTATTGGCAATAGAGTTGCCTATCAGTGCCAAATGTACCCAGTGCCAGCAAATGGTCACCTGTAATCTCATTCTGACCAGTTGTCCAAATCCCTTACCATCTCTGGGCTGAGAGGTCCCAGAGCTGCTGTTGGTGCTGTTACCCTGTGCGTATACTCTGGATAGACCTCTACCCCAGTGTCACAGACCTCTCCTGTAGACCTCCCAAGTTGTCTTGTGTGGAAAATGTCTACCTCTGACCTTGCGTTGGCTCTGCCACTCCAAAATTTGATTCAAGGAGTTATTTGAAGGTTGTTTGGAGGGGTATGTTGGTAGAATTCAGCTGGGTTGCTGCCTGTACTCTACCATCTTGGCTCTGCTCCTTTTCTTTTTAGGATGAATGACTGGGATTTAGTGCAATGGGCATGACCAAAGCTCATCTCAATCTCTTGACCATTCAGGTCAATAAAACCAGAAAGGTCATTAGAGTACGATGTAGTGAAAAGAGATTTATGTGCTTAGGCCAAGGTCTTGGGTGCCAGCCTGGATCTGACATGTAGTTGGTGTTTTCATGGGTGAATCCGTTGCTCTCCTTTCACCTCATTTTCCTAATGTGTGTAAGATGGAGACAACAATTCTCACTATACCTGATATGAGCCAAGCTCTTCTCCAATGCCCCAAAGTACTAGAGAAATGATAAGGACTTTTTACAAACTAGAGTCTGGTGATAATTTCCATCAGCTATACTAGTTAGTCAGTAAGGCACCTAACATTTATTAAGTACCTACTAGGTGCCAAGCACTATGCTAAGTAAGTGCTGAGGATACAAAGAAAAGCAAAGAACAGGAATTCATATTTGACTTAACATTTACTCAATGACTACTATTTGCAGGGTCCTATCTTTGGTACTAGGGATAGAAAAGCAAAAGCAAATCAGACCCTGTCCTTAAGTAAATTCCATTCGCTATTCAACCAGAAGAGTCAAATTGACGTGCCCTTCAAAATGTAGGTGGCGCCCTTTAAACAATTGGGTCATAGAGCAGTGCCAGGGGTGTTAAAAGGAGCCAATGGCAAATGGCAAAACCATCCACCAGGACTCTCTAGGCAAAACTTCTTCTATCAGTCTCTTATACCTCTATAAAATATGACATGGTGAAGGATTTCCATGCCAAATTGGAAAAAAGAAGTGCTTTTGAAGGAGGTCCTTGTGCTCAATTTAGGAGGAAGAGGATGGTGTCACACCTTGCAGGTGACCCCAGCATCCTCATTGTGGTTACAGTTTGTCACACCCCAACCTTTGAACAAGCACTTCTCGAGAGACAGTTCTTTTCCAAAGCAGAGAACTTCATTCATCCATATGATACCAGTACCTGCAATGTCCCAAAAAACTGAATCAGAAAAGACTAAGTCAGCAGGTCATCCTTGAAAGAAACAAAAGCAGCTAAACATGTTTATGCCAGGTGCCACCAACTCACTCTGTATATGTGTGTGTGTGTGTGTGTGTGTGTTGTGAGTGAGGGAGAGAGAGAGAGAGAGAGAGAGAGAGAGAGAGAGAATCAGAGAAAAGAGACAGAAATAGAAATACAGAGACAGAGAGACAGAGAAATCCTATGATCTTCCATCTCCGTTTCTTCTTCTCTTCATAAAGACTCAATCATTTGAGGACGTACTTACCTGAACTCAGGAAGGGAGACATGGGAAATACAACTCAATGGGGTTCAAAAAAGATCAATATTGCTAATGAATATTGATTCCAAAATTTAAAATAAAATCATGACAACATAGAGATGAATTTTGCCTGTTATCAAAGGTCTTTTTTTGTATAAATTGATATATTCATGCAATCTGGGGTATTGTTTTCTATTATGATTAATTATGATAATTGTTTCCTTAATACTAAAATATTCTTGCATTTTTGGTAGATACTCAAGTATAGCGAATAATTAGGTATGTTAATGTAGTTGGGGGGGAGGTGGTCAGGATTTTATTTTAAATTTTGGAATCAATATTCATTAGCAATGTCAATCTATAGTTATCTCTCTTTGCCTTATCTTTCCCAGGTTGAGAAGGAAGAAAGGAAATAAGTATGTATTAAGTGCTCATTACACGTCAGGCATTGTGCTAAGTGCTGGGGATACAAAAACAGGCAAAAAGAGAAACAGTCCTTGTTTTCAAGAAGGTTACAATGTAATGAGGAAGACAATATACAAAAGGGAGCTGAAAGGTGGAGTGGGAGTGCCAATAAAGCTATATGGCTATGTTTTTAAAGTCTGGAAGTCTGGAACAGGATGAGAAGGAGAATGAAAGCATGCCAGCCTGGACCCCATTCACGACATGAAGGCCCCAGAAGGAAGTTACCAAGGGGGAGCCAGAGACACAAGGCTAGTCTAGGTTGAGAAAGTAATTGGAGGCTTCTCGGTGGGGAGGCCCCAGGTGCTGAGGTATTAGAACTACAGTTATGCCTTCCACATCTCTACTTTCCCCATCACTGTTTCTATATATTGCAGGTTGGCATAAGAAATTAAAAGGGGGTCTTGGGGGAGTTCTGCAGAAGTGGCAGATAATACGCAAAAGCCAGCAGATGACAAAAAAAGTTTAGAAACTGAGAAATGCATAAAATATAGGTACAGCATTATTATTATATAATATCAACATATTTTATCTTTTAACACCATACTAATTCAGACTTCTGTGGTATGAAGGGAAGGCCAAAAAGTATTCCAGATCATGGGGGTGCCACACCCCAAACCCCTGTGATATGGAAGAGATAACTGTATGTTTATCTCACAAAACAAATTTGGTAGAATTTTTTTTTAATTTTAGGCACAATTTGTGTAGTATAGCCACTAATTATTTTCTAAAACTTTGATATAATTAACATGTAAACCCTTCTGGGCCAGAGTGTTTCCTCTTCCCTTTTATAATTCCTTTACAACTAATAGGATTTCTTTTTATGAAATTTGGCAGTTCTAATATTTCATATTTCATATTCTGTTAATGGGCATTTTATACTTTATACATATCCCTGTATTTCTTTTAAAATCTTTTTTTGTGAATTTTAGCTTCTGATAGTTATTTTCTTTCATCTCTGTTGTGATTTTCTTTGTCTATTTAAATTGTTTTTGGTAATTTGATTTTTTCCCTTTTAATTAGATTATCTAATGACTTTATCAGTTTTTCAGTCTTTTCAAAGAACAAACTTGTAATTTTTATTAGTTCTATATTCTCTTTGTTTTCAGTTTATCTATTACTTCTCAAATTTTCAACATATCCTCTTTTGTGATCATTTTAAGCTTATTCATTTGTCAATTTCAGAATTACAAAATTGCATATATAGCACTTAATCCTATTTTTTTGTTTTCTTTTTTAATTTTAGGTTTTATTTTATTTTGAACTTGAGATAAAACAAGCATTTCCATGACATAGTATAATAGGGGAAAAAAAGATGATTGTACATGAAACTACAAATCTATTATGTATAACTTCCTATTCCTTTTAAGTATATAATAAAGTTATCATATAATTTTTTTCTTTTTGTTTTTTTTCCTTTTTTTCTCCCCCTCCTGCCCTAGAGATTATTAGATACAAATAGGTGTGTGTGTGTGTGTGTGTGTGTGTGTGTGTGTGTGTGTGTGTGTGTGTGTGTAAAGTTGTTCTATGCATACTTCTATTTATTAGTTCTTTCTCTGGATATAGTCTCTCTTCATATATACTTTATAGTTAATTTGGGTATTTAGAACAGTCAAAACAACTTATCCACTCAAAGTCATTCTTAAAACAATATTGTTGTTACTCTATACAGCATTCTCTTGGTTCTGCTCATTTCACTCTATTTCATGCAAGTTTCTCCATGCTTTTCTAGGATCATCGAGCTTGTCACTTTTTATAACACAGTAGTATCCATCACAATCATATACCACAACTTGTCCAGCCATTCTTCTACAACCTCATCTACCACATTGCTGCCCTGAAAAAACTCCCGCCCTGGGATCTGGCTGTCCTGATTGCTTCTCTATACCAATGTTTCAGGAAAGCCCCAACCACATGTTTTAATTACCTACCTTCTCTTTATCTCTATTTTCCACAGCTTTACCAATCTCATTGCATGGATACCCTTCCTACCTAGCTGTTCATAAAATCTGGTGTTACCAGCATATTTGCCCTTGCACTCACCTAACAATACATTTCCTCTCTCCCAAGCCCTGTGCTGGTGCCAGGGATACAAAGACAGAAATGAAATGACCCTTGCTCACAAGGAGTGTTGTAGTGTCCTAGGGGCTACAAGGTGTATACACATAGATATAACAGAGGGGTGAAGGGGCTCTTCACCTGGTGGGATCAGGAATGGCTTTGAACAGGAGGTTCACTCAATCTGAGACTGAAAGGAAGCTAGTGATTCTAGTTTCAGAAGTGGGGATATGGAGCAAGTCAGGCAAAAACATGGCAGCAAGAGTTGGATTTCCAAGCTTGGCAAAGAATAAATAGGTCACATGGTATGGAGGGAGTAATGGGGAAGAATCCAGCACAACTCACCTGGAACCAGGTCATGAAAAGCTTAATACTAAATGGAAAAGCTTATACTGGATCCTAAAGGCAACAGGGACTCACTGTAGCTTCTTGAGCAGAATTACATGAGCCTTGAGGAGACCTGTTTGGCGGCTACATGGAAGATCCTTGGAAAAAGGGGGAGCCTGGAATCAGGATGACCAATGGAGAGGCTATTCTAATATTTTAGGGGAGAGGTGACCATGACACAAATTGGAGTGGCAATGTGTGAATCAAGAGAAGGGGCCAAACCCAAGAGATGATATGGGGGTACAATTAAGGATACTTGACCATTCACTGAATATGGAGGCCGTGGGAAGATTCCAAATGGAAAAGGCACAGAATGAGCTGGGAAGGCTCAGATCAGGGTCAGACCAATTCACCAGACCATCCAGCTGATCCACTGCCCTCATCTTGGTCATCATCTTATATGAGAATGTGCCAAATTATTGCAAGATTTGTCCTGACAGAATCCACGATTTGTTGGGTGTGTATGAGCTCAGAGATGGTGTAGACTCCATCCAGAAGGAGTCTTGTGGCGTCATCTTTGTCTTTGCTCCTGTATGCCTGGTAAATTAGGGTCAGTTTTGGACTCATTAGAATCTTCATATTGTCCACAGGCAGCAGCAAATAGGAGGTGCAGGAGGAATGTAGTATGTGGTCTTGCACCTAAACCTTTACATGCAGCTTTGTTCTCTCTCCATTGTAACAGCTTTCCTGGACCAGCAGAACCCTTTGAGGTTCTGAAAACCAAGAAGCAAAATTCTCATTTTGTTTAAAGATGTGCCTGAATCAACTCTCAGACTTGGAGGAATGGGAGGAAGGAGGGCTTCCATTTCCATGATTTTAGCTGCTGGGGAACCGGGCTGAGGTGGATGTAACCAGACCAATGTCTATTTAGAACCCAAAAGTAATCCTGGGACCTCCCATTTCTTCCTTCAAGTCCCACCTAAAATCCCACCTTCTATAGAAAGCCTTTGTCTGCTCCCCCAAGTGCAAATGCCTTCCCTTTACTGATGACCTCCAATTTATTCTGTGTGTCTCATCTGTACACGATTGTTTGCATGCTATCTGTAGGATTAAACTGTGAGCTCCTTGAGGCCAGGGACTGTCTCTGGGCTTGTTTTTTTTTTTATCCCTAGCACCTAGCACAGTGGCTGACGCTGAATAAATACTTGTTGACTAACATTTTAGTCCAAAGTTCAATATTCCCGAGGAAAATGTCTGCCCCCAAGTGAAATGCCATTCCTCCACCTTGAACGTCATCCATTTCAAGCCAAGAAACAATCTGGAGCAGGCCCCAGGGTGGTGGATAATCCCTAAGCAGGAAGAACAGGCCTTGCAAATCACTGAGTTGGCAGTCTGGTTCATTTATTCAACTCAGGATTTCACTGCCCATTTCAGTCTATTTGTTATTCTTGAATCTATGCCTTGAGCTTGTTTAATTATGCACAGCAACCCACTGGAAGCAGCTCTGAGCTTAGAACACTACTTCTTATTTGCATATTTCCAATGATCTTTGTTTGAACCCCAGGGGCTGTCTCTCCTCATCTTTGTCAACAATTTCATGAGTAAAATGGTCAGACCTTTCTTTGTCCCTGGTAGCTAGCCACGTGGTGAAGTTTCTTTGTTCGTGGCTGGGCAGGTCCTCAGGCTACAGGCATGCTATCCACCTCTGGAGCAGTAATTGAACCATTTTTCCACTGGCAGGACCTGCTAGAGCTTTTCCTCTATTAATCTAGCCCTTGAGAGCCCAGGGTCACCATCAGGGCCCAATGAGACTCAAATATATAAATCTCTTTGACATGAGTGTTTCTTCAAACCATGCAGACAGAGCTCAAGCTAGGCATGAGTTCACAACAGAGAAGTCACCCAACATACTGAGGTCTTCCTTGATTTCTCTTGACATGGGGAGGGGGAAGGTTACCAATAATGCTATCTTCTGGTTACCCCTAGCTATCACTGTGTGATTGAGCCCTCTTCCTTTTCACTTATGCATTTCTTTGCTGACATCCCTTATACAACTTTGTCAAATGTTCTCGTTTGAAATGTGTTTTAGACTCTCCATGCCCACCATATTCCTCTCCATTGTCCTTGGAATGAAACTTGATTTTTTTGGATTCTATAGTATTCCCTGACTCAAAGCCATGCAATAACACTGGAAGGATCTTTGTCTTAAAAAGGTGAGCTGCTTCAAGGAGTTTGGGGTCATGATAATAATAATCATGATAATAAAAATTGCTACCACTTATGTAAAAGGCAGCTAGATGTCACAGTGTCTAGAGCACTGGGCCTGGATTCAGGAAGACTTATCTCCCTGAGTTCAAATGTGGCCTCAGACTCTTATTAGCTGTGTGACCCTGGGCACATTCAACCCTGTTTGCCTCCGTTTCCTCATCTGTAAAAATGAATTGGAAAAGGAAATGACAAACCACTCCAGTATCTTTGCCAAGAAAACCTCAAGCTGGGTCACGAAGAGTTAGATGCAACTGATAGGACTGAACAACACATTTATGTGCATGGTACTTAAATACATTAATTATATCAATTAGCCCTCTAATTTTCCCATTTCACAAGTGAAGAAAATCAAATGTTCATGTGACTATTTCATGAATTTTCATCCTTAAATTTCTTCGGGGTGACTTTGCTTGGCTGAGTCTCTTTTCAAGGATAGGGAATCCCTTGGCTGCTACATCCCTCCATTAGGGTCATGCTTTGGCAAACAGGCCAGGATTTCCCCAGCCTTCCTCATTCCTTCCCTTCCCAGTTCCTTTTCTGTCCACTCACAGCTTCTTAGGGCTTGCCTTGCCCAACTCCTCCCTCTGTCTCATGCCTCCCTCTCTCCTAACCCCAAAGCAAATCAGTTGTTAGGCCATGTTATCTTTACCTTCAAAATTTTTCTCATAAATACTCCCTCTTCTCCTCTGGTGCCCCCATGGTGGTATAGGACCTGATCACCTCATACCTGGACTATTGCAATAAATGCTGGTGGGTCTGCCTGCCTCAATTCTCTTCCCTCTCCAGTTCAATCTCCATTCATCTGTCAAAGCGATCTCCCTAAAGCACAATTTTGACTATTTCACACACCCCATCCTCATTCAATAAACTCTAGTGACTCTCTCACTTCCAGGATCAAATATCATAAATTCCTTCATTTCTCTTTTAAGCCCTTCATAACTTGGCCTCTCCTCTTTTGCAGTCTTCTGACACCTTGCTCCATGTGTGTACTCTTTGATCCAGTGAGATTGGCCTTTTGTTGTTCCTAGAACACAGCATTCCATCATTCAGTTCTGTGCCTTTTAAGGAGCCATGCCCCATGCCTGGAATGTTCTCTCTCCTCATTTCCATTTCCTGACTTCCCTGGCTTCCTCCAAGGCCCAGCTAAAGTTCCACTTTCTGCAACAAGCTTTTCCCTGCCCTCCTTCATCTCACTGCATTTTTTCTGAGACAACCTTCAGTTTATCCTGTTCATACATTGTTTATACATAATTGTTTACATGTTGCCTTGCCATTAGACTATGAGCTGCCTGAGGGCAGCTGCTGTCTTTTGCCTTTTCTTTGTATCCCCAGTGCTTTGTGTGGTTGTCAGTCAACAGTAAGCCCTCAACAAATGCTGTTTGGCTGGCTGACTCATTGAGGAGGCTCTGCCATGTTTCGGGGTTCAATGCCATCCACAGAGGATCACCTAAAGGACCTCATCCTCCATGGATAATCCCTCCTTGACTTGCACTGCCTTGGATTTCCTTCTTAACTGTGGCAAACATGGCTGGCAAACACTATCCCCCAGTTTTATGCCTTGTCTGATGTCAAACATTGGGAAGGGGGAGGGCAACAAACAAGATTATTTCTGTTGTTTTATCTTTCAAAGAACTTTGTTGAATGTTCTATCTGGAAGGGAAACACCTTGTTGGGCAAAGTCTTTATGCCAATGGTTTTCTCTACCAAATGGTTTTTTATACTCAATGATCCAAAAGCCCAATTCAATCTTGTGTTTTCGCCATCTTTCAGCCACTTGTGTGACAGTAAAGATGTAGCTTGCTGTGGAATATGGCTTTGGAAAACCAGCCACTTCCTTCTGTAAACTAAATTAAGTCAGAATTTAATCTGATACCCAGGGACTGTAACTCAAAGGCAGAAGGCAAGGATGATGAAAAAAATGTTGGAAAACAGTGAATCAGGAAGTAAGGAATGAGAGAGGCTGGAACAGAGAGAGCATGGAGAAGTCTTATGCTGAAACATGGCACATACTGTCCTCAAGAAGATTCAGGACACATCCAGCACAATATTATAACGTACCCACAAACACACACCCAGGCACAGAAGTTAATTATACTTTAACCCTCAACTTTAACACCTTATTACTGAAGCGGCAGTCAGCCCTGAATCAGCCATCAGTCCACTAGTAATCAGAAGCCAGATCACTGTTGTTAAAGAACAGATTAAAAAAGAATACAAAGCTAGAAGAAAAAAATAAAAATGAGAAAAAGATATGGCATGAAACTGCAGTGACTCCAGCCAAACCTCTTTTAATCCAGGGAGGAGTGGGAGCAGATAACAATGTACGTGGCCATAGAAACAAAGATGGGTGCCACGTAATCCCCTCTGCTGCCCCTGTTGTGAATGCCAGGACTCAGTGTTTTTTGAATGCTGTTCATGTATTTGTCAAGTGGAGAGCTCTCCATGGTGGGAAATCTTACATTAAATAGAATTAAATGGACTCACTGCTCAGATATGAAGAGGCAGAAAAGCCACACAGGAAACATCCAAGAGTTTTTCTGTTTTTTTCAGGGGATTAAGCAGGAGGAGGAGACCTCTCCATCCTCCCTATCTGGCTTCTGTCAATCAGGAAGAACTATTCTCCTTTAAGACGAAGCTGGTTGGAATCAGCGATGTGCTAAATACAGATAGCAGACTGTTCAATGTTCATTGTGAGCGTTTATGCCTTGGAAATAGGCCAATGCCACAATCTAGGGCTTGTTTGATTGTTTTGTTCAGTGTCTAGACTTAAGAGAATAATGGAGAAAATGTAATAACACAGATTTAACTGAAAAACATGTCCTGCTTACTTTTTTCCCCCTAGAGAATCAGTTGTTACACTCATTCATCTATATCTATCTATGGACCTACTGTCATCTCTCTTATCAATCTGGCTGGCTGTCCCACCCACCCATCCATCCATCCTATCCTATCTTCTTCTATCTATATATCTATCTATCTATCTATCTATCTATCTATCTATCTCTCTATCTATCTATCTATCTATCTATCTATCTATCTATCTATCTATCTATCTATCTATCTATCTGTCTGTCTATGTATCTGTCCATCTAATCTTAGTTGCAACAGATTTCCCATAAAGGGCTTACCACTTCCGAAGTAGGCATCCTTATGCACCTTTTCAACCCCAGAGTAGCCCAAACTCTTACACACAACCAATCCATTTCGCATCTCCCAACGGTCATCACAGACAGTGCCCCAGTGGCCATTGTGGAAAATCTCTACCCGGCCTTCATTGGGCTGGCTGCCACCCACAAGTCGGACAGTTTTGATTGGAGCTGCAGCTGTGAAAAAGAAAATCCCCATGAGACATCTGCAACTTATTTGATACCAAGAGTAACTATTTTAGCCAAATTCATTAGTTTTGTATTTGGATGTGGATGTGGAATTTGCAAATGTCCTCATTCTGGTCAAATTTTGAACTGCAAACTGTGATTGATTAGAGAATGGTCAATTGTACAATTAATTTCCTTCTGTTTAACAATTTAAAACAGTTTAAAGAATCATAAACAAAATAAGTTTTAAGCACAGGATGAGAATGAAATGGAATTAAAAAAAAACTTGAGGGCTTTCCATGAAAAGGAGGATTGATTGCATTGTTTCAAAGAAGATTCTCTCTCTCTCTCTCTCTCTCTCTCTCTCTCTCTCTCTCTCTCTCTCTCTCTCTCTCTCTCTCTCAACCCCCCGTCTTTGTCTCTCTCTCTCTCAGTCTCTCTCCCTGTCTCTGTCTCTCTGTGTCTCTGTCTGTCTGTCTCTCTCTGTCATTAAAGCTATGGCAGGTGAAAGATGAAATGACTGAGAAAACAAAGGTTTGAGCTTCTAAACTTCTCAGTTTCTTACATAATGAATACTAACTGTATAATAAACCAGGACCATGTCTCCTTAGCTTGGGCACTGGACCCTGACTATAGGGAGAGACAGATCTTTATGCATTAAAAACAATTTAATCAAATAAGACCACCTAATTAAAAGAAAACAATTAACTTGGATAACCAGGTGATCTGATTTCTAATTGGAGGAAAGATTAGAAACTGTCCAAATTGGGAGGGGGAGAGCAAACAGGTGCAATTGCCTGCAATCAGAACAAGAGGTGTCTCACTTTCCCCCTCCCCCAAGTATGTATGTATTCAAGCAAAGGAACATGAAAACAATAACTGATCAGACAGAACAGGGCCAGTTTTCAGATAAGACATGTGGCGCTTGAGTTATGTAATTGTGAGAAAACCTCTTGCATCAATCTTTGGATTTGACTGAGTTTCTAATCAGCATAATGTTGGTTCTTGGTTAAGGGTCTCTAAGCAACGGGGAGAGGTGGTCCAGTTTCCCAACCATGCAGGGCTAGGTTCAAACAACGCAATAAGGTTTTCTCCCAATTCTCACAAGTGAATACAGTTCTCTCACAGGACAGAAATAGAACTAGACCCATAATGGAATAGAAACTAAGCTAGAGCCATATTGAGTCACAAGATGGAGTCAGTGTGGTTCTGTTAATTCTCACTGCCACTTTCTGTTTTAATTCCCTCAAAGCCTTGCTGTTCCCCATGTGTGCTGCTGACTAACTGGTCCCCATACCTCCATCCCCCACCCTTTGTGATGAATTGTCCTCACCACCACGCCATTGAGTAAACATTGTCCCAGGACATTCTCTGATCAGTGCTCTTCCCTGCTGCAAACCCTTCATTTCTATGTTAGTGTTCAGTTGTTCAGTCCTGTCTGACTCTTTGTAACTCTATGGATCATACCAGGGTTTTCTTGGCAAAGATACTGGAGTGGCTTGCCATTTCCTTCTCCAGTGGATTAAGGCAGACAGATGGTAAGTGATTTGCCCAGCATCACACAGCTAGTGAGTGTCTAAGGTTGAATTCAAACTCAAATCTTCCTGAGCTCTATCCACTGAACCACCTAGTTATAGTTATATGTAAACTCTTGATCCTTTCATTCCTTCATTCAACAAATATTTATTAAGCACCTACTCTGTACCAGGCACTGTGCTAAGTACTGGGGATACAAAAAAGAGGAAAAAGACAACCCCAACTCTTGAGGAGCTCACAGTGGAATGAGCCTGACATTCAAGGCTCTCCCATCACAACGGGACCCCTAGATGCCTTTGTGTATATGTGTAGAGGAAGCTCAGTGGCACAAAGGATACCATGCTGGACTTGGAGTCAGGGAGATGCGAGTTCAAATCCACCCTCAGACATGAACTATCTGTGTGGCCCTAGGCAAGTCACAACCTCTGTCTGCCTCAGTTTCCTCATCTGTAAAGATAATAAGGCACCTACCTCCCAGGGCTGTTGTGAAGACAAAATGAGATAATGCATATAAAGCACTTCACAAACCTTTAAGCTCTCTATAAATGCTAGCATAGTAGGTACAAGGTTGCTGCACACACTGAAGGCCAGGGTCCCAGCTGGGAGCTTGAGTGCCCAGTCAGAGATACAGGGCTGCATGAGGATGGGCCAGTGCTTCTTGAATAATGGAATTAAATTAGTTCATTGCAGAGTAGCAGAGGGCTTCCTTGGGCACAACACTAGGATAACTTTCTCTCAAGTGTCTTTCTTGAAGAAGGGTCCACTTACCAAGAACAATAACCAAGTTCCTTTGATTACTTTAAGAAAGCATTTCTTAACACAAGGGGCTATAATTATCAATTCCAACTGACTACAGTCCAGAAGTCTTCTGGGGGAAGGATCACAGCTCTTTGCATAAGATTTTGTGAATGTTCCATGAAAGCAATGACCCCAGTTCTTCAAGGAGCTGAGATCTCCTTAGGGTGGGCACTGACTACACTAGCTTAGATGACAGTCCTTGTGCCACTCCTTATCAGAAGGTTCCTTTCCATTGCCTCTAGCTAGTAGCCTCTTTGGCATCCTCAGGGCACAGCCATGCTGTTGTATGAACAGAGCATGAGCTGGAGGACTCCACTGTGGCAGGAGCAGTTGGAATGGAATGTTTTCTCCACTGGCACATTTTTCTGGAGCCCTCAATCACAACTTTGTTCTGGGTGGTGAGAACATGTGTTTTACAAAAAGGGTAACCCAAAGCACAAGAGTCACCCCACTGGCCTTGGGGTGTGTGTGACTAATTATTATTGTCAGAGAGCCTGTGAGGCACCAGAACTCTGCACCCATACCCACTGAAGGCTGATAATGAATGGAATCAGATATAGAACCACAGATCTAGGACTGGAAGGCTCTTGGAGGTCCCTGAGTGTACCATGCTTGTTGGAAGATGAGGGCTTTTTCCAAGGTCATTGTTAACATCTGTGATGGGATTTGAATCCATGTCTTCCTGACTCCCAAACCTGCCCTTTGTTTCACTACAGCAAAGCTAAAGGGGTCCTCAGAGATCAGCTGAGCCGACCCCATTTGATTGGTAGAGGAGGAAAGGGAAGCTTAGAGCAAGGCCTGTTTTTGCCAAGGTCACTTGGCTGGAAATGGACAAGAATTTGAATCTAAGTCAAAATGAAGATAAAACATGTCTGGAATTATCATGTCAGTCAATTGGGAAAAGAATCAGTTCCGCCTCCCAGGTCTCAGTCACCATCTCGCACAAAAGGAGGTCTGCCTTATAAGAACCATGGCTTCTGCTGGGCAGAAGGTAAAGGGCAGCAGTGGAATTCTCAAAGTGGACTTTCAAAGCTCAATTAATGGAGAGTCATGAAGATTAAGCTGTCCTTTATACCTAGGCTGGCCTAGCTTTTGGCACAGACTTGGCCAGTCAAAAATCTCCTTAGCAATGGAAGTTCACCCAGCTAGCATACCCTGATATTAGAGGTCCTTCATGCCTGGGAAGCAGGAAAACCCCTCTGTAGACTTCTGGATCTGTCATCCAAGGAAGCCCAGTTTGGGGGGTGCAAGGGAGCCATTTTTAGCTTCTTCAAAAGGGGCTTATCTTGGCCTGGCTTTGGAACCTGGCTACTGATACCTTCTAGTGCTGGGAAGTAAGGCCAGGCCAGATGACACTGGAGTGGTGGGCCATAAGGAATTGTTCTCCTTACCTCCATATTCACTGATGGGGGAAATCTGCTGGGATAGCCAGAGAGTCAGTCTCAGGGTAAGAAAATGGTGGCGGGGGGGGGGGAAGGAAGAGAACAGCCATGACTGACTCCTTCCAGCAGGGTAAGGTGCTGAGGGTGAAGGCAAAGGCTCTTTATTCCTTCTCTCCCTCCCTGCACTGGCCTCTCCTACAGATGGAGCTAGTATGTACTGAGGGACCTGGCCCCAGAGAGCTTCCCCAGCTGGCCTGACATAGAATCAGAAGTGGTTAATTTGGTTTGACAAGAAGCCCTCACCATGCCTCCTACCCACACTCCTTCCTAGGCTGATTGCACAAGGAACTTCATTTGGCAAGACCTTATTTATAGGGTTGCAAAAACTCCTCCCCTCCCTCTACTCCCCCCCCCATGCCAGAATGCTCCCCTTCCCAGTTCAACTGCTGCCAAAAGCCCTTCCTGATTCCCTCAGGTACCAGCCCCTTCCCCCAATGCTGGATGTAGATCATGTATGTATGGTCGAACAATTCTCCCGGCAAGCTCCTGGAGGGTGGGAGGCTTTTGTTTGGTCTTCAGCACCAAGTACAATCAATGCCTGGCATGCAAGAGGCAGGTGACAAATATTTATTGAATGGTTATAACCCTATGGCCTAAAAGACAGAGATGTTAACCATTCACACCTTAGACTGAATGAGTTCAATCTCTAACCTTTCTTGATGGTAAGCTGCTCAGAGGGAATCACATTTTTTTTTCAGTTTTGATATTTAGAGAGAGCAAAAGGCAGCAAAGTTTTGGAGCCTGGAGCATTGGAGGGAAGGATACAGGGGGCAAGTTTTGGGTAGCCAGAGGACTGGAAGAGACTGGGGTGGTGGAGGGGAGAGAGAGAACCAGGAGGAAGAAGAGTCTAAAAGGGAGATGAGAGGGTATTGGGAGCTATCTTCCCCTACTCAAAACCTTCCCCCCTCCAGAGGGGGAGAAGCCCAGGCCCCCTAGCCAAGATGCCATTTAACTCAGATCAGTTTACCTACCCCCTTTCTCTTCCCCACCCCATCATCCTTCCTGTTCTGTCTAGAGGTACGAGCCTGAGGGAGAAAGGCAGCATGGAAGAGGGGAACATTGAGATATGGAGCCAGAAAACCATGGCTCAAATCCCTCTTCTGTGACCTTATGACCAATGTGACCTTGGAGAAGTCCCTGGCCTCATTCTTCTCCAGGGTATAATGAAGGGGGTTGGACTGATTGAGCTCCAAAATCCAGAGTGGCACCAGGTGCAAGATGAAGAAA